TAGAGTTAAAGGAACAATTAGGAAGAGCGAGCAATCCCGGCTTTACGCAGCGTCATTCGTTGAAACATTCATCGCCACCCGGCGAACGCGGCTTTTTCTTAAATACGACTATTTACAGCGAGCTTCGCGGTTTCGTGCTATGCGAAACCGAAACCGATTCCCCCGCCCGCATTTTGGATCCTATCCAAGAACCGTATCCGCCGTTCTCTGAGCGGTCGTCGTCGTCGTCGGTCGCGCCGCGCGCCGCAAAAAGGGGAGAAAGATCGTCGAAGCAAGACCACGATGAAACGCTCGCGTTACATATATACGGTAGGTCGATGGTCGGATAAAGAACGCTACAGGTTGCAAACTACAAAAGTTTATTTCATGCACGGCGCGTACAATAAAGAATACGGAGTCGTGGACGCCAGTATAGTTATGATTATAATGGGGGAAAAATTGCATAGTAAACTCGAAGAATAAAAAACGACTATATATGAAGAAAAGATTATCTTATTGTTAGACCAGCTACAGAAGAGACGTGCGAATTTTTCTCCAAAAATTAATTAGAAACAAAATTTCTTTGGATAACATATTTCTAAATAGATATCTTCTCAATTTGGGAAGCGTGTACATATAAAAGATGTAGCGCGTATACGATAAACGTTTTTCCTACAAAGATCAGTTTGAACTCGCTTGAGAGATCCATCAGCATACCGTTTATCCGGTATACACGCATCTGTATATCGGTAAATAGCTGCATAGATACGAGCATAGTGTATCTCACTGGCATACACATAGTGAACGATACGACCCGACTACCGGGGTATACGGCGGAAGAAGGCATCGACCTGCGGCTTTTATGAAGATAACATCTCTGCTTATGAAGCATAGCTTATCTACCGACCCGCCATAGATCTTTCAGCGGGTACGGAAGCCCTCCTTGCCGCCTGTATAACCAACCACCATCGCTGAGACCGCCAGACCGCCAGACCGCCTTCCATAATCCATTATAGTTTCTAAAACGTCCCGCAGCCCCCGGGAAACGCGCGTGGTGGCCCGGCAAGAAGCTGTTTACGCGAAACCGGCGAAAACTCGGGAACACACGTGCGTCCGCATCCCAGCGTACCATACGTGTGGGCGGCTGTGAGGGTGCCCGATGATTTACTCACGTGCGAACCGCTACTTGTTCCCGATGTTTTTCAGCCGACACTCCGGTATCGTTGATTGAACCGTGGACCGTACAACACCGAGAGTCTGCAACGAACTATTGTGGATTGCTTTTATGCGACGTGCTTTTATTTATCTACACTTGCGAAATTGCGTATCTTAAAGAGCAAAAGAGATAGGATATTTTTCTATTCTTTTCTATTTTATAACGTTATATCGACGTTTTTGAGATATTAAGATTATCGATATTATTTTGAAAGAGAGAGAGAGTATCGGAAATATCGAAATGTAAAGAGATGGTTTTTAAACTTTAAAGGTTTTTAACACAACCTTTGCAATTATTAATTTGAAATAAAGTTTAATAAGATATTTTTTATTTCTATAAAAACTAAAACATTTTAATGGTACAAAATATATTTAAAATCTATGATTCTCTTTCTCTCTTTTCTTTTGCGTTTATGCACATTTACGCGCTATTATTTTCCTCCATTAATTTTATAACAATTAATGTTTGAT